TAACTGTGATTCAGATTCAGATATTTAAATAGAACCCTTGTTAATATCATTTAGATTCGACCTACATAGTACATTCAATCTCACGTGCATGGAACGAGCACGACATTCACCACGCGTTCGCAAGCCAACCGTGTCTATATAGCTACGCTGCGTTGTGTTATAGACACTAAAAAAAGGCCCATCTCCACACAAGCGGCGCGTCGCGGCGCGACACCGTTCACCCCTACCGGCAAAGTTCAAAACTATTAGTATTATATCTTATGGCGCAGTCTCCACTGACACTGCATGGCGCCAGCCCGGTTTCACGGCGACGGCGAAAGTCAAAAGAATAACTTTTGCCGGCTGAAGTGACGGCGAAAAGACAATTGAACCAATCAACGCGATTGTTTTTTATCACGTGTTCTGGAATCGATATTGAAGCAATTGCAAAGGATTTTGTTGAAAAGTGTGACTCAAGGAAGGTCACATTTGGTTTCTAACACTGTTCTCTGTTTTCAGTTGTCAGACATTTTTTTGCATTATTATTTTCATCATTATTATTTTCCTCTTCATCTTAATCATGCTAACTGTGTCACACAGTTAGAACAGTCTGTGTGTAGCTTTACTACTAGTTAGCTAAATCTAATTAATAAAACATTTTGGTATTTTATGTATACATGATTCTAGTAATGTCATTCATGACATCACAATTATGCAAACTTCCATCAACACGGCGCACGCTGAAATACGTGATATTGAACTAATACGTGATATTCGCTTGCCCGCAGATCACGTTGCTATTGGCTGCTTGGGACCCCCCTAACTTTCAACACGTGGTTGCGCCCTTGCACATGATACAGACACGCACACACACACACACAGAGGGGGGGTCATGGTTATCTTTTAGTAGGTCTCAGGGGAGAGATAGTGAATGTAGAAATAAGTTGTGGATATAGTAATCAGTTAACCCTAACCCTAATCCTAACCCTAAGCCTAACTCTATCCCTAATTCTAAATTAAAACAAAATTAGCCAAAAATAATAAAAAATAAAATGAATAAGAGACAAAATTAGCCAATCAGAGCCGTCCCCTAGCGGATCACTATCTCTCCCCTGTGCAAAATTCGTTATCTTTTGTCTTGTCTTGTCTTGTCTGTTACTGTACTAAATTACTAATCGCCTGGTGTGGCTATATAGGTCAAATCGTCATCATACATCGCTTTTCATGTGTGATAGCGGGGGGGGGGGGGGTGCTGGAGACCAGCAGATTGCTTACCCAGATCGATGTAGTAACAGCTAGTGTAAGGCGTAAGGCATAGTGACAGCTAGAGTTACTATAGACGTATAGGTGCGGGGGCGGAGCTACGTCACAGGTCAGTAGTCACGTGACCACCAGCAGAACGCCGGTGAAAACAACACGATCGCGTCACTGGCGCCCATAGGATTACTGCATAACGATACGAATTATCCATCACTCGGTTTGGAAGTTTTAATAAGTTTTTTCATGAAATTTCTTCTAATATGCCTTACGAGTATATAGATAGCATTTCTGTAGCTATAATTATGACATTATGTAAGATACATATGCACTGCAAATATAAAATATTTTAAGCTATTCTTATTTGTTTGCTTTGCATTAGTTGAATAAAATTACCCCAGGTCTCGTGAAACAAAAACAAAGTCCAAGATTACACATGCGCACACACACACGCACACGCACACGCAGTGACACACTCACACGCATACGCACACGCACACGCACACACAGTGACACACGCATACGCACACGCACACACAAGGACCAGGGAAAAAATTTACAATTTATTTTTCTGGGGGCTACTTTTCAAGCTCGCGTGCATGAAAATAGCACTCTAAAATTTGGTTTGCATTGAACTCTATGCAAATTTACGGGGGCTCTTTTTGGAATTTCGGGGGCTAAATCGCCTCGGGCCCCCGTGTATTTTTTCACTGACAAGGACACACAAACACGCACGCACGCACGCACACGCACACACAGTTACACACTTACACGCACACGCACTCGCACACACAGTGACACACTCACACGCACACGCATACACATACGCACACGCACACACAAGGACACAAACATGCACGCGTGCGCACGCACACGCACACACGCACGCACACGCACTCGCATGCACACGCACACGCACACGTACACACAGTGACACACTCACACGCACTCGCACACACAGTGACACACTCACACGCACACGCACACGCACACACAAGGACACACAAACGCACACGCACACGCAGTGACACACTCGGACGCACACGCACACACAAACACGCACGCATACGCACTCACATGCACATGCACACGCACACGTACACACTGACACACTCACGGGCACGCACACACACATGCAGTTATAAAATAGTAGTTACCTGTCACGAAATGATCAGAACAAATAGTGGAGAATTTTGACGGACTCCAGTGAATGCGTTTGACCACCGTTGGCATGGTGTGTACGGTCGCGATACCATTACTATACTAGTACACGAAAACCGATATCATGTCTATACGATTAAAGGCTACCTGAAACTGGCGTATAACTATAGGTAGGTATACCTTATATCTTCTGTGAGAGCCTGTAGGATGCATAGTATATCGTGTACCCTTTGTACAGCGACGTCGCAGTGTATACGACTCTACGATATCAACCACCTTCGTTATAGCCTGTCCCAGCCTCCCTCAGCCTCTCCCAGCCTCCCTCAGCCTCCCTCAGCCTCCCTCAGCCTTTCTCAGCATCCCCCAGTATCCCTCAGCCTCCCTCAGCCTCCCTCAGTCTCGTTCAGTCTCCCTCAACCTCCCTTAGCTTCATTCAGTCTTCCTCAGTATCCCCCAGCGTCCATCAGCATCCCTCAGCCTCCCTCAGCCTCCATCAGCCTCCCTCAGCCTCGTTCAGCCTCTCTCAGCTTTCCTCAACCTCCCTCAGCCTCCGTCAGCCTCCCTCAGCACCCCGCAGTCTTCTTCAGCCTCTCCCAGAATCCCCCAGCATCCCTCAGTCTTCTTCAGTCTCCCTCAGCATCCCCCAGCTTCTCTCAGCCTCCCTCAACTTCCCTTAGCTTTATTCATTCTTTCCCATTATCCCTCAGCATCCCCCAGCCGCTCTCAGCCTCCCTCAACCTCTCTTAGCTTCATTCAGTCTTCCCCATTATCCCTCAGCATCCCCTAGCCTCCCTCAGCCTTCCTCAGCCTCCCTCAGCCTCCCTCAACCTCCCTCAGCCTGTCTCAGCCTGTCTCAGCCTCCCTCAGCCTCTCTCAGCCTCCCTCAGCCTCTTCCAGCCTCCCTCAGTCTCACTCAGCCTCCCTCAGCCTCCCTCAGCCTGCCTCAGCTTTCCCCAGCCTCCGTCAGCCTCTCTCAGCCTCCCTCAGCCTCCTTCAGCCTCCATCAGCCTCACCTAGTCTCCCTCAGCCTCTCTCAGCTTTCTATCTATATGTTAACGACTTCATGGTCGAGGGTTACATACATGATTTATTTTAGCAACTTGATAACGGTTTGCTCGTGCTACGGAAGGGCATGCACTATAAAATTGTTTTTTTCTATATCTATATCATTTTTCGATCCAGTCGTGCGTGGTAAAAAGGCAATGAGCGCTGGGCACGAGTTACACGAGTTCGTTAAGTGAGCCACGCACCAAGTTGTGGTTATACCAATACCAATCCAGCATTTACCCAATAAGGTAATTGTAAATGGAATGGTGAAGAATAGTGGTGGACGCAATAGCTTTCGCACGGAATGTGTTTTTTATTAGCATCACAATACGCAGGAACTACGATATAGTCTGCATCCTATGCTATAGGCTAGCAGCAATCATACAGTCAGATGAGCAGAAAAGTCCAGATTACCTTAAACAGACCATGAATGGCAGAAAAGACACAGAATTCAATAACGCCGTCTCACTGTGTTGGCAATAACCCTAACAGTATTAAGCCTAGCGCAGACTTCTAGAATCGCAGTCGAAATTGCTGTGAAATCGCTATGTCTGCGGGAACGTGCAACTGCAACTCGTAGCGATTCTGGTCGCTTGCGACGAGTTGCAAGAAATCAAACTGTTTTGATTTTGAGCGACTCGTCGCTCCCAATCGCTCCCAAATAGTTCTAGAATTGCTTCGAGATCGCATGTGTGCGCACACGCGGTGACACATCGACCGATCGCTTGCGGTTGCAGGTTGCAGCGACGAGCAACCAAAAGTCGCAAGTCTGCGCACTTGAAAAATTCCTGGTTGATCCGGCAGTTTTCTCTCGTCCATCTAGGCATGTAACACTTGAGTTCTAAAGTTGTATAAGGTCTATATGATAAAAACTGAACGCGGGAATAACCACAATAGCTTTCATCTTGGACATTAAAAGCTTAGCATACAGTGTCTTCACACGTTGTCTCCCGAGAATAGGTTGCAACTGCTCGCGCCCCACGCTACCGATATTGATTTAACATTTTCACCCGATAAATCAATCAACGTCAAAGACGATTCAGCACTCCCAAGTCACCGGCTGTACAGATGTGTAAACGCGTAAGAACGTAGCAAAATCAATGCTAAAAAAACAAATCTATAGCAGTCGCAGCAAAAAAGGCCACCAACCAGCGATATGATCAATAGGAATCATAGGATGCGGCTACGCCACTCAGGCATTTCAGCACCGGACACAAATACAATATAATGCGTTTTCGCAAATGAAATAAAAGTTTCACCCCGCCGATCGCTCCTCGCTGGACTTACCGACGCACAGATAAAAGCAATAGATTACCAATCTGAACAACGGACAGTCGGTATAGAGAGGCAACCACTTCAGCAGCTGAAACGCTAGAGTTGCTGAGATTGACGAAAGATATAAAGGCCACGCGTTGACTAGCAGGCTGTTCGTAATCCGTTCGAACGAACGGGAAGGCCAATTAGCGTGAGAGTAAACAAATTAATTTAATAATGACGTCGTTGATTTGATTAGACTTGATTCATCACAGCTATTATATGGATTAGTGCGTCGAACTATGATCGGTTTCATGAGTATTGCTTCTTCTCCACTGAGCATCGCCGTGAGTTTGTAGTGCCGTCGTAAACAGGTGCGCGTTCTCTCTCTCACTACCCCTCTCTCTCTTGCTCTCGCTGCCTCTCTCACCATCGCTCTTTCTACCTCTGCTAATGGAAGTACAGTAACAAGAAATTTTACATGCCCGCTATCAGGAGCGAATAATTATCTGATGCTGTTATTATTCCCTCCTGCGACTATCGGTTTGAAGCTCATCATTGCAACTACAGCACGCACGCGCACGTGTTATGTTGACTCGACTAAAAACGAAACTAGGGCAGTAGATTAAAGGGCACCGACGGCAATTACACAAAAGGCCAAGGCAGGTGACTGCCGTCGGTCGGGTTGGATTTTCAGGGGCAGTACGGCGATTGATAGGGGCACCGACGGCAATCGCCGTCGGTTAATTCGAGCCCTGAGTAAAACCCCCTAAGTAGAACCCTGACAAATTTGCAAAAAAAATGCTGAACCGTGTATAACGTAACAAATTTTGTAACGTGCGTGCAGCGAGTTGCCTAAATAATTTCTAAAAAAAATTTGACCGATTTAAAAATCCCCGCTGCCCGCGTCGTGATTGGTTGAGAGAAAAAACCTGTGCATCGTGATTGGTTGAGAGAAAAAAACCTCTGTGTTGTAAATGGTTGGGGGAAAACGAGTTCCACTGCGTCGTGATTGGTTGGGGGAAAAAACCTCTGCGTCGTGATTGGTTGGAGGAAAAAACCTCTGCGTCGTAATTAATTGGGGTAAAAAAGATCTCTGCATTGTGATTGGCCCGCAGGCTTCGGTCCGTTCGGCGTGCACCACGTGAATTCGAGCTGGGTGGCGATACAGAAGCTGCGAGAGATGGGCGTCGTCGACGGCAACGTGCACCTCGTCATACAGCGGCTGCCCGTCGAGTACGATGCAGTGAGGAAGCTGGTGCCCGAGCTGTGGGAGAAACACAACCCAACAGTAAGTAGGACAGGGGGAGAAGGGGAGAGGGAAGCCCCGTGAACTGATCATTACGAGGGTAAGATGTTACACATGCAGCTTTCTTTTCAATCCGAGCGCTACGCGACGATCATGTACGCGCATGCGCACGAGCGTAGCCCCGTCTGCATGATGGACAAGCCAGCAGCTGTTGCAACGATGTAGAGAAAAACATAGTAATCCCTAGCCACAGGCACTTGGAGCGTTTCCATAAAATATAATGGTAAATAAATACGAAATCTATTTGCAACCAAAGTCTTAATGTTTTTATACTCTCTTTCACCTACTATTGCCGACAATTTCCTGTAAATGCCGTCCAAATGCTCATCTGCAACAAACGTTGGCTGCCGTCATGGCTGCCGCTGCACACTGACACATAAATATATAGTTACATTATTATATGACGCACGCCGCCCTATCTGTGACAGACGGATATGCTATAGGAGGTGTACAACAGTAAGCTGCCGCAATTGTTCACCGTTGCACTATTTCGTCTCTAGAAAAGACCTTTTTGGCATTTGTTTTCGCCGAAATTCAGCACTAGAGTGCAATAATTTGCATTATGCACGCAAGTTAGGTGCGTCTAAAAAGCATTAGAAGTAAAATTGGTCTTGTTGTGTAATTGTGCCATTTCAGCTAGTGGCGTAGCCATGGTCGCCGGTCGGCCATTTTTGTGTATGAAACGGGATCCGACTGCTCTGTAGAAATTCGCATCATAGAGCTGGCAAAAGTTTTGAGCGGAGCATAGAGCATGCATCTGTAGTTATTTAACATGAATAAAGTGTATGTTGTGTAAGCGAAGTAACAGTGTGAGTATTTTTAATTAATATCTGTTCGATGCTTATTCAGGCCTGCTGCCTATGGACGCGATCTACTGTTGTTCACCACCTTTAATACATTCCGTTTGTTAGAAACCGCTATGCCATCAAAAAAGCGGGTAACGCTTGCAGCATTGCAAGACGAGCCGCCCTAAATGTTGCCGACGTATGCTATAGACTGTTTGCTAGGACATCAAAGAAGCGCGCCTTTGACGTATGCGGCGAATGCTCTAATTCCTCGCTTCCTCTTTTATCTAGATGGATATTTTAGACCCGAGCGTAAAATATATTGTCGCGGAGAGAGAGAAGTTTTCGGCATATATACAAGGAAATGAATATGCTCTAGGTTTGCAAATCGGGTATTGCGTGTGTAAGCTCACGGAGACAGGCTGTTGTTTTCACCGGCACAGCTGGTTGCTAGGTTAAGAAAGTCCCGGATGTGGCAAAGTTCCCGGCTGTCCGCCCGCACCTATAGTATATATAGCCAAGGGCAAACTGCCTAGATGCTCAACTGGCCAGAACACAAATGGCGTGTGGCTTAATTTTGCTCTCCCATGCACAATGTGTTAGCTAGGCCCTATATATATGGCCATAATCGTTCTCATGCTGTGTTGAATGTTGATGTAGCTGTAGCTTTATCATGAGTCTGTGTAGATCTACCTGCGTGGTCCTTTAAACGCACGGCTAGCCACACTCTAGGTATTAAGATTAGTATAAGGTATAAGGTAATAAGAAACTCTACGGGGAAGCTTTGCAGCATTGCAGGTATTCCGTTACATCTATGCACATGCTTATCTTTATCTTCATGCAGGTTTGCCTATGTCTGAGCTGCAGACCTTGAGATACCGACCACTACAGCACAGTGGATTATCGTAAGATAAGATAATGGGAAGTAACGCTGAGAAGAAGACCGTTGTGGTGACAGGTATTTGATACATATGCACTCTCTATCTCTATTTATAGCGCAACGTGTGAACTTCACATTAATCATGGCAATTAACATTCTAGCTATACCGGCGTTGACATTTCGCGAATAAAAGTTTAGACACTTTTTCTGGCATGTCATGAGCTATTCAAACCTATTCTGGTACCGTTTTCCGATATAATTGCTGGAATGTCTACATGTTTATATACATGTGGGATTTCATGAAGGCCAATGACACCACAGTTCAACATTTGTTGCCAACACGTTCAACAACGTTGTTGTGGCCTATTGGCTAATTTGCATTAGAACAGTAGTTACATGTTTGCACACTGCAATATAAATTAATTGCTCGCTTCTTTTCAACAAGTTGCAACAAATTGCATAGAGCATAATTGAGCTGCCATGATCCAGTGGTTAGCATTTTCATCGTTAATTGCAAAAAGGCCGTGAGTCTAAACTCTAGCCAGGGCAGTGAATTCTAGCCAGGGCAGTGAATTCTAGCCAGGGCAGTGAATTTGCTCAAAGTGTAAAATCTTGGCTCGCTACACTGGGAACTGTTAATCCTTTGTGGCTAAGATGACCACATAAAAAATGCCAGTGTCATCCTCAGAAATTTGGATATAAAAGAACCACTGATAACGTAAAACACTCGGGCAGTGGCCACCCTCAGTGTGATTTGACGTAAGATTATTTGACTAACTAGTGAATGAGGCTTCAACTTCCTAATTATACAGCTAGTTATTTGACAGGTTTTGACTAAGTGCTGAAACCTGTACAGATATTGATCTCGATTTCCTGCAACATCATTCAATCTCTTGTGTCACATCTCGCTACACCTATTCAGGGGTAGAAATTAACTTTTGAACAAGGGAGTCCAACGCCTGCCCTCAAAGAGAGGGAGTCCGCAGCAAAATGAGGGAGTCCGCAGCCTGAAGTTCAAAACTAAAGATATTAACAATAACGCATGTGCTTATTTTGAAGATTCATGTGGTTGCACGTCTGCCAAATTTTCTTTGGACATTTGCTGAAAAAATACGGTAATTCCGCGAGGCCGTGCTCTGGAACGAACTAGTTAGTATAGCAGAATTTTCAGGGAGTCACACGGACTCCTGCACATATCAAATCAGGGAATATTTGACTCCGGACTCGTGTTAATTTCGCACCCTGCCTATTTGCAACAAACGTTATACCATATAATCAGGGGTAGATAATGACAAATCATTGTCAGTATCTACCCCTGATATAATGTAACAGGTTTTGTAATGTACGTGCAGTGATAAAACAAAACAAGTTTTAAAAACCAAAATAATTACCTCTTGCACCAGCCATTGGCAAAAATACTTAGACCTGTGTAATATGAGAAATAATGTAATGTTCATGCAGTAATAATTAACTACATAATTAAAAACAGGGATTTACCCAGAAATTTCAAAAGATGACAAGTAAAACCAGGGCTCGAATTAAGCGACGAGAAGGGCAAGGCAATTTTTTTAGGGCATGTGAGAAATATAGCGTTGGTTAGCCTTTCATTATTTTCCATGGTTTTAGTGTGCTTAAGTTAAAATTAGCCGCGTGATGATGAGGGAGGGAGCGGTTGGCGGTATTGCCGCAAAGAAAACACAAAGGAAAACAACCCCTTGCCATATCATTACAAGCATTAGAAACCATAATAAACTTATAATAAAATTTTCAGCGGAATCGATATGATATCAAGGGCTAATAATACCTTTTATTATTATACCGTATTATGAACTCTTGATGATATGCATATGCATACACGCCGACGACTTCAATCATCAGAATATTAGCATATTCGCATTTTAATAAAATCTATGTATTGAGGCTTGCAATCAGCGGTATTTTGTATGTTTTACTGCTCTACTGATTTGATTCGGTTATGTTATAGATATTCGTAAATGCGTCGTTGCATGTCAGATATGATGCTACAACGTGATAAGAACATAACGTAACTCAAACTACGTAATCGAAAAAATATTAAAAAATCATTCAATCACATCCTCAAGCATCCAAAACCTCATCAAAACCACCCATGCAAAATCACAAAGAAATCACCAAAAATCATCAGCAACAAAAAAAGGAAAAAAAGGAAAAAATTGAACCGCGCAAACAAACAATCCACTAACTGATAGGTTCAGTAGTAATAAACATCAAAGGAATATCCCGTGTGCAGGCACAAGCCCCACACTTCTGTAGTTAATAGCAATAGTTCCCCACCTAAATTGTTAATTATGCGGTGCATATTATGAAATACCAGCGGAAGAATGACAGGCAATATTGGGGGAGGGGAGCTTATTATCGGAGCATTAAACTTTTCTGATTACGACCACGTGCGTGTTTAGGTGTTCGCATGCGGGCGCGTGTGCGCGTGCGTGCGTGCAAGCGTGCCTATATGTACGTGCGAGCGCATGTGTGCGCGCGTGTGTGTTTGCGTGCCTGTGTGCACAGGCACTTGGGACAGAGTCGGTAAAAACTGAAAATAATATGAACACACATTCACAAATAGGCCCTACTACCGTACCCCTCTGTTACAGTTCCACTGTTGCGACACTGTATATCAACTTTCCTTCATAAAAACCTATGTAAAAACTAACGCCGAACGCTCCCTCACTCGCCGCGGCGAGTGTGCTGTGACGCTATGATAATAATATATATAGAGCTCTATTATGACTAACTGTAACAGAGGGGTACGATTTGTGAATGTGCGTTCATATTATTTTCAGTTTTTCCTGACTCTGTCCCAAGTGCCTGTGCCTGTGTGCGTGCGTACGTGCGTGCGCGCATGAGTACGTGCGCGTACCTGTGTGTGCGTGCGCGAGTGTGCGTGCATGTGTTGTCTATACAGGTGCATCCACCTGTTTGGCTGATTACAACATTTATCGATACGAGCTTCAACATAATGGTGCGCTCGCGTCCGTTTCCACTTTAGCAAACCCACGCAAGTCCACATGTGCAACACTATAAACAGTAGTAGACAGTATATAGTAAGCATACAATCATAACACAATACGTATAGAAACACTAGAAACAATAGTAGACAGTATATAGTACGCATACAAGCATAACACAATACGTATAGAAACACTAGAAACAAGAGCTGTGGGTGAAACACAACCCAACAGTAAGTGGGAGAGGGGAAGAGGGAGGATAGGGGGCGAGGGGGAGCAGAGGGGGGAGAGGAGAAGGCTGGTGCCCGAGCTGTGGGAGAAACACACCCCAACGGTAAGTGGGAGAGGGAGAGGAGAATGGGAGAGGGAGGGAGGTAGAGAAGGGGGAGAGAGGAAGGTTGGTGCCCCAGCTGTGGGAGAAACACAACCCAACAGTACGTGGAAGAGGGGAGGAGAGAGATGTAGGTAGAGAGAGGGAGAGAGAGGGATGTAGGTAGAGAGGGGGAGAGAGAGGGAGGAGAGGTAGGTTGAGAGAGAGGTAGGTGGAGTGCGGGATGAGAGGAAAGGTGGAGAGGGGGGAGAGGGAGGGACTTGGAGGAGATAGTGGTAGGTGGAGAGGGGGAAGGGGGTGGAGAGTGAAACCAGAGGGAGACATGCTAGGCACAATCCAGTGTAAGTTGGAGAATGAGAGAAGAGAGCGAGAGAGAGAGAGAGAGAGAGAAAGAGAGAGAGAGGGAAATGCGATGCACAACCCAGTGTAAGTTGCAGAAGGAGAGGAGAGTGAGGGATCGTAGGCACAACCTAATGGTAGGTAAATATGGGGATTCGAGGAAGGGATTCAGGAGCCCAGCTACAGTGATAACTGTTCATACTGTCATGTGTGATATTTGCCTGGGCCGTGTTTTGCTCGCGTGCGCTATTCTGACTCGGGTATGTGTGGTTGCTTGTTGCAGCTGATGGTACACACAGGAGTGTCCGGTGCTGCCACAGAGCTAGTCGTAGAGAAGCTGGCACACAACGATGGCTACTGCTCACGCGACGTGTGTGGTAAGCCCTGCTTCAAGACAGCACTGCTTGAACCAGTGAAAAAATTACACGGGGCTCGGGGCGATTTAGCCCCCGAAATGCCAAAAAGAGCCCCGGAAATGCCAAAAAGAGCCCCCGTAAATTTGCATAGAGTTCAATGCAAACCAAATTTTAGAGTGCTATTTTCATGCACGCGAGCTTGAAAAGTAGCCCCCGAAAAATAAATTTGCCCCCTGGCTTGAACAGTATGATGTAATGACGTAGGATCTCATGGTACCGAGCAACTCGAGTGTGGGATTGAACTCTTTCTCGCTAGTGTGCGAAGTTTGCGACGATTACTGTTGGTTTGTGATGCGTGTATGTTTTGTACTTTTTGAACGAATGCATTCGTAGATAATAATCTGAATAGTGTTATTTATGGCTACTTATTACAAGATTTCCAAAATTTTCTTTTCGTTTGTTCATTCGTTCAAATTCGCAAATGTGTTAAATGCAACATATGGGATACGTATCGCGCTGGGTCGTAGAATGTTATATCTTCGGTATTCACTGTTGCATTATTACTAAACAGAGCATTGTTGTTTTGTCAGGTTTATTTCCGAGTACACAGTGTTGTGTAGAGGAAGGTGCCACGGTGCTGGAGACAGAACTAGATGTGGAGAAGGTGTGTCGGTGTTTGAACGAGGTCGAGTGTAAGGTCGTAGCTGTACCTTCCATGGACGCCGGCAGGTAACCTACCCTCAACCCCTATAGTCCAGTCAAAATAGTACCTTAATTCACCCACCACTAATTTAAAAGAATTTATTCCACTGCAGTAATTTGTACATGTGCCTATCATGTTCACTGACCATGAAAACATGGGTTTGGACACTTGATTTGTTTCAACCGGGTACTTAGATGCAAAGTTATAGTGAAAATACGAATTTTCTCTTATGGTGGAAGCTAATTTGCATATTATGCAAATTATTCCACTTTCCAATGCTAGGATTTTTTGGGACTTTTAGTATGGTGTTTAGGGGACCATACTGAAATGCACTGCAGTGCAATAAATTCTTTTGCAATTGGTGGTGGGTTACCCCTCAAATTTGCTAGATTGACTGGGCTACTACCATTCCCACAACACTACACCATCAGCCAGATCTGGTAAAGATATCGGGTAATGAAATGCATGGTTTCAGCGCAATAAAATTCATAGACATAGACCTTGCCATGCAATCACCCCTGTTTGTTGATACGTGCCTTGCACAGTTTTTGCTATTTCATCAAGCTGTGGGTGGCAAGCAATACTTCATAACATTCACACTGTTCCGTGCAGGCATTCACTCACCATTGCAATCGTCTACGTATATACCTTCGTATGAAATGATTGCGCGTAACCTGTCATTGTGTGTGTCTACGTTGTCCACACACACACACGCACGCTCATCCCCGATGATCTCATATCGCAGGTACTTGTGTGATTTCTGCTACTACACGTCGCTAAACATAAACCGCCGAGCAACCGTCTTCATCCACGTCCCACCGCTCGACAAGCCGTATAGTGCCAGCCAGATGGCGCTAGGTCTGCGCGTGCTCATAACGGCGTTACTGGAGCAAGTATCCTGATGACGTGCAGAGACATGCAGTCACGAAGGACAAGTGTTCCATTAACTCTATCTATTCCACCAAACCTCAGTCACGGTTCATATACACTTACATAGTATATATATATATATAATCACAGCGTTCTTCCTAGGAATTTCAGAAAACATGTCATGCAATAGCCAGACTGCTAATTGTAGCACATTAGGCAAGGAACGTAGGCAGTCCCAGTACCAGTGCCTGAAATGGGGGCCAGCCGAAGGTTGGCCCCCAATTTTTTTTTGGGGGGCGAGTAAATTTTTTTAGTCACTGGCCCAAATGCATTGTTGGAGGCCCAAATTTTATACAGCAGCGCATCTGAGCCAGTGCGCATAGAGCGAGTGCGCGCGATCTGAGCGGGCTCAGCTAGGCACCCCGATTCTCACCGGTCTCACTGCTAGCATAATTTATCCATTACTATGCCACACTAGCGTTATACAGCGGGCATAGCATACAAGCGTATAAGCAAGCGTGGCCGATCAGGGTAGGCTCAGGTCAGCGATACATGTACATAAATGTGATGTTATACATTGTATCAAGCTAGCCATACAACGCATCTAGACATGTATGTTTGCAGTGTATAGCGGGAGTCGAAGAGTACCAGTCTACCCCGCCGTCAGCAAGCTAGGTCGGAACGAAAATGCGCGAGCTTGGTCTGATTGTATCCTAGCGTGGACTCCGGTTTAGTATTATGATTAGTTTATAGTAAACAAAGAACAACTCAAACATATCAGTAAATTTGTTTGTGTTGAAATATTGGCAGTTGCCCAAACTTTTTTGGGGGGGCAAGTGACTACTTGACTTGTGCAATTTTCGGTCGCCCGAGCTAGACATTGGTCGCCTGTGGCGAGTGGGCGACCGTCCATTTCAGGAACTGCAGTACACATGTACACTCGGTGAGTTAAGAGAGTATACAGCATGACTGTGGAAACACAGCATGATTGTTGGAATTGTCAAACGTAAACACAGTTGGAACTTAAGGCATGTCTTTAGGCAGTTAAGCTTATTAGAACACGTTGGATTTATTGGATGTTGCAAAATAGCTTCAGCTCCGAAGGCATGTTGGACCTGACATGTGTTACAGAACTGGAGAAAACCCCGATATATATGTAATATATATATAATATATATATTAAATTATATATAAAAAATAAATATGCTTAAAAATCTGTACATTGACTACACACATATATATATATATATATATATATATATATATATATATATATATGTGTGTGTGTGTGTGTAGTCAGTGTACAGATTTTTTAAGCACGATTGTTGTTTTTATAATTTTAAACTGACAGGCGTAGAAGTGTAGTGAAGGTTGAATCATGTGGTGATGTGATCAAGACATTTTTTTCGAGTTTTTATTACATATAACTGTCTATATCATGCAGGTTTTCAAACATAAGGTAGTATATTATATATGCCCTGCCGTACCCTTGCTGTGGGATATATAATATATTCTTATAATTCTTCCATCAAACCAGTCTGTTTGTTTTTTATATCCATCCAGGTATTCACTTTTCCTTTTTGCTGTTTTGCATTACTGCAATATTGATCTGAAAAATCCTTGTAGATTTAGCTACGTGTGTTATACTACTGCTTTTAGTTGTCATTTTCTTTATGTTCATTGTCATAGGCTGTTAGAATTTAACTGTTTACTGGCACTGTATATGCATAATCTAGCATGGAATAACTACAGTATCTAGTCTAAAGAACCCGGTTTTCTCATATATAAATAACTTCACGCTGAGTAAAACTTAAATATGTAGTGCCATTCTTCTTACAAATTCTGGTTCCCCCGTTCTTATTCTTAAGAACTGCCATCAGGGGAGCCTAGACAACTGTGTGTTACTCTTGTCTAATGCAATGCAAAAAAAGCCCATGCAGCACATTGCAGTGTCTGGGAAGCCAAGCTAGACTGTGGATGATAAATATCCACAGTCCGTTACGCGACAACATGCAGCTGATTGGCATTGCTTGTGCTGCACCAACGGTAGCCTATTGTTTTAAGTATGCAGTCATAGTACTTTTGCTGTAGTAGAGTGTAAACGACGTGCAAACCATAATTACTACATTGATGAGATTTTACTTAAAGCCGCACTATGCGCATCCAAACGCTGATTTCTCCAGTACAGTACTAGACTAGCAAATACTTCGTGTCATGCATAATCACACTACCTTATGACAAAATAAACTCTAGTTCCTCCCATTTCACTGCGCGTTGTCTAATATATAAATATATATATATATATGACGGACCCTCGTAAATTGTTTATAATCTTAGTCGTCTGTGAACATGAGGGTCTGTTTCTGATTACGTTCTGTTGCCGTGTAGGCTACTACGCCAGCCTTTCTTCTCTCAATACTAGTTCTAAGTTGTAAGTTCTAATTCTATTCAGCCTTTCTTCTCTTTCTTCTATTCAGCCTTTCTTCTCTCTAGTGTTGCCGTGATTTCCATCGTATGGCGTTTTCAGACATCACAATAGCGTTATGATAACTGATATAATTTGATAAAATGAGTCCTATAATAATGCTATATTAACGCATTAAATAACATAGAGTCTGCACCATATTTGTGCACAATATCGACTTTCACACTCCAGCAGCGTCCACGGACCGTGGATATCACAATCACGTCTAATGACATCATTACATTGAAAACGCCTAGCAATAGTCTTGCCTTATCTTTGCTGTTGCTGTTGCTAATTTTCTATTGCTGTTGCCTTTAACCTAACGATTGCTGTTGTTAACCTTAGCAGAGAGATGAGAAAACAGGATTATGATGTTGGTCCTCCCTACCACATAACGTCATTACATTGAAGACGCCTATAGCTATTAAACAATTGTTGTTGTTGGTAACTTTCGCGGAGATAAAATAAAACAGAGTGATGATGTCGGCCATCGCTACGACATGCTCCAGCGTGCGAAGCTGTGTCAAACTCAACTATATATACGACGCCTTTAACCTCACCACCAGTTGACACAGTTACACACGTATATATATATATATATATCTCGTACAACTACTGTGAGGTTTGCTTCGCGGTTCCATTGCCCGCGGTTACGTAGCAAAGAGAAGGAAAGCACGCGCACTATAGCTAGCGGTCAAGATGGATCGTACGCTGACCGTGGATCGTGTGCTAGATCGTATGCACGATCGTGTGCTAGATCGTGGCTGGATCGTGTGCTAGATCGTGGCTGGATCGTGTGCTAGATCGTGGCTGGATCGTGTGCTAGATCGTGGCTGGATCGTGTGCTAGATCGTGGCTGGATCGTGTGCTAGATCGTGGCTGGATCGTATGCTAGATCGTATGATAGAGATACTGGATCGTGGCTAGATCGTGTGCTAGATCGTGTGCTAGATCTTATGCTAGAGATACTGGATCGTGCGCTAAATCGTGGCTGGATCGTGTGCTAGATCGCGGCTGGATCGTGTGCTAGATCTATGCTAGATTGTGTGCTAGATCGTGGCTGGATCGTGTGCTAGATCGTGGCTGGATCGCCTGCTAGATCGTGGCTAGATCGTGTGCTCGATCGTGGCTAGATCGTGTGCTAGATCGTGTGCTAGATCGTATGCTAGAGATACTGGATCGTGGCTAGATCGTGTGCTAGATCGTGTGCTAGATCGTATGCTAGAGATACTGGATCGTGTGCTAGATCGTGTGCTAGATCGTGGCTGGATCGTGTGCTAGAGATACTAGATCGTGTGCTAGATCGTGTGCTAGATCGTGTGCTAGATCGTGGCTGGATCGTGGTGCTAGATCGTGGCTGGATCGTGTGCTAGATCGTGGCTGGATCGTGTGCTAGATCGTGGCTGGATCGTGTGCTGGATCGTGTGCTAGATCGTATGTTAGAGATACTGGGTCGTGGCTAGATCGTGGCTGGAGCGTGTGCTCGACTATGGATCGTGTGCTGGACTGACAGTGACAGACTGGCAGACCGACAGACTGACAGACAGAGACTACTGACAGGCGCACTGCTGCTTTCGCACCACGTTGCTAAACCTGGGCGATACAAAATAGAGATTCTGTCATCATAATCAACCGCTGCGGCATCGGCCACAGAGAAAGCCTCCAAGATTTTCTCGAATTTTCCGCTACATTCAGCTAGTTATAAAAACGATGACGATGGCAGCGGTGTTGCGAAGTGTGTGAAATGCGGAGTTTGCGACGATGATGCTGCGGTGACAGATGACGTCGGTTGAAGTGACTTCCTTGTACGTGACCAGCGAGCTTTCGCGCTGATTGGTGATTTGTACCGCAAGAACGAACGACTGGATTTATCTAGGTTTCTTGGTTGATGTGGTGTGTGTGCGCGCGCCGCGTGTGTGTCTATCTCTGTCTCTCTGTCTTTCTCTTTCTCTCTCTCTCTAAGCAAATACTTCGTGTCATGCATAATCACACTACCTTATGACAAAATAAACTCTAGTTCCTCCCATTTCACTGCGCGTTGTCTTATAAAAGGCATTTGAAAATACAGCTCCAATGTTGTTCAAATTCTCCGATGTTGTTGACACTTTCGCGTCGCTCTGCCAAGCAACCGTGGAGCGGTGCTGCGGTACAGCAGTATGGGTGTAGCAAAGATAAAAACATGTGACGTCACCTAACCGATTCTTGGCGAAATTGTTTGGCAAACAATTTAGCGTTGGCGCCAGATTTCGCACTTAATTTTCTTGTGGGGTTTAAGCAAATGCGCACTGAAATGGGAGGAACTAGAGTTTATTTTGCCATAAGGTGGTGTGATTATGCATGACACGAAGTATTTGCTAGTCTAGTACTGGAGAAATTAAAGTTTGGATGCGCATAGTGCAGCTTTAACGTATGGTTTATTAAATCATACATCCTATATATTGTATGAATGTCTATGGTACCAGTGGGTTAATTTTATAATCATGAAATGATACATGTATGAATGAATGACTATGATAGTTATTATGTCGTTGTAGTGCGAGTAGAACTTGCCATACATTAACTTGAAATATTATAGATTGGATTTTTAATGTCAATTACTTCATCCACCCCACTTTATTTTATAACAATAATAATAGTGCAGTTTTTGTTGTGATGTATATATCGAACTGTGTGTATAAAATTATATAAACTGCTGCAAATTCACACATAAGCTAGCATTTATTTGTATATATTGCTAATATTGTGTGCTAGCCATTTAGGCGTTGACCCGTGGCGCCATCGGGTGTCGCCGGAAAGCACGAAACGCTACAATACATATACCACGGTTGCTATCCAGTACTGTATTGAGTAAGAGGTACTGTAGATTTAAAATTCATCAATTGAGAAAACTAATAATTACACAATATACGCATGTTCATATATTACCAGCCATCACACACAATAACGAAAATGTTTATAGTTTTGCCTTCTCTAACCCAGCCCTTCCCCCACCCAACATACATGTAGCAAGGAACATAACAGTAAATGTCGCAGAGACAAAAACTTCACACTGGATAATACAGGACTTAAAATGTTAGCAGTCACAGCGCCAAAAATGTCAAGACACTAAATAAAGTGGAGGAAGTAAGGAATACAGGAATGGAAACTGTTTGGAGTGAAGACTATCCGACTAGAGGTTCGAGTATCGACACGCATGATAGGGAGAGATAGCTGCATATGCCGGCATTCAACACGTCATTCTACACAATTCTGTTCCAATTCACGATGGTCCATGGTAATCAGATTTTTCAGCTCATTGGCAATGCCAATGGTCAATGGATGTCTGGTTATAAGAAGGAGCCTAGCTGTTTGAATACATGCATCTAAACAAAGGAATTTCTCCGACCTGTGATTGGAGGATAAAAATATAGGCCATAGCCGCGCGTGTATTTGCATACATGAGCGATACCGCGCGTGTATTAGCGTATGAGCGATACCGCGCGTGCATATTGGGTCTACACTCTGAAAAATTGAAATGCCTTTTGTTGAATTTGTTAAAATTGTTTATTCATTTATTGCCAGGCATTAAACTGTTTTGCATTCTCACATGCGATGTACATTGTACACGTCACACGTGACATTGTCAGTGTCACTGTGACTGTACTGTGTTACGTGTACACTAGCTCTAGTAACTATAGCCCGCATACAGTTGCCGCTGGCGGCCAGCGGCCAGCAGCAACTGTACGCCAAGGAGCTGTATGCGGGCTAT